TACTTATCTATAAAAGAATCTTGCCTGCCATATTCCCTATAAGTAGTCAGTCAATCTTTAAGTGCAGGTCTCTGCCAAAGACCAACACATCACACTTCAGGATAGCCTAGTGCATTGTTTGAAAACTCTCAGGACTTTGGTCAGTTTAGAGTCTTCCAATATGTTTCTTTTTTGTTTGAAATATTCCTCTATTTTTAACTTTAGGTTCAAAACAGAAAAAATCCATATATCAGTTATTCATATTGTCTACATCTTTGTATTTCTATATATTCATGTTTTCTAAGATTTTTCCAAAATCTCTCCTTCTCTACAACCTAATTAAACGTGGAATATTTATAATTTTATTTTCTCATCATAATTTTCATTCTCAAAAAAAATGTACAGACTTTTTCTATTAGTGACCTTTATTCATTTTTCCTGTGTAACTTCCCTGAAGCCTTTTCTTCCTAACTCAAAACATTTCATTTTTCTTGAACCGTACATCCTAAATTATTTTTTTTCTGTAAACCATTCATGGCCTTTGTCATCAGTGTCTAGATAATATTTCAAATATTAATGTCATCCTGAAAATTAGGCAAATATTCACAAAGACACCAAAGACAAAACAATATAATAAATGAATAGCCTCTGTCTATAAGTGTAAACATTTTATAATGCCAAAGTTTGAATATGTGCATTCTTAATCTCAAAAAAAGGTATGAAAAAAGCATTTCCTAAAACTGTATATTTATAAAACACACAGGGATTACTGAAGCTTGTCTGAGTGGTGAGCAGAGTTTGGAATCTCATTTCACATTGCTTGTTCTATGACAGAATCTTCTCTTTTTATTCCCAAGTAACTTCAGATCTGACCACCATTTTTCTATACAAGGCAATAAGGAATGCTTTGTTATGATGGTGTCCTGTGTACTTTCTACATGCTTCAGATTGTAATTGGAACATTTGGGAATGATTTACTTCTTTACATGTATAGCTTTAATATAATCACTACTCAAAGCATAAGACCCATTGACGTGATTTTCATTAATTTGGCCTTTTCCAACTTTGTGGTGATTCTCTTGAGAGGAGTTCCATGGGCAATCCATTCCTACCTTCAGAAAATTTTCCTGAGTGACTTAGAATGTAAAATCACAATTTATCTTCCAAAAGTGGCCCGGGGCATTTTCCTTTCTACTACCTGCCTTCTGAGTGTCTTCCAGGCCATTACTATCAGTTCTGGCCATTCCATATGGGCTG